TCCAACACAAGTGAAGATGATTCCGGAACATAATTATCAGAAGAGGGATCTCGTATTCAATGAATACGGCCAAGTGGTTGGCCTGAACTCAGAAAAATTTGTGAGCATGGTTGGGGCCATAGTTCGAGAACATGTCCCTGTTGTAATTAAAGATTGGCATTCAGTGGATGGAAAGAAGAAAATGGAACTTTGGGCTTTCGTACAGGTACTATTTCTTAAGTAATTCATTTTGTCTATTAGTTCATCACAATAAGTCATTCATTTTGTTTATTCATAACATTGCTGAATGTTGAATTTGTGGCATGGGTGCGCGCGCGCGTGAGAGAAGAGAGAGAGGGGAAAAAAACAGATAAGAAATTCACACATCTGTGAGGGGTTGAGACTTAACTATCTGCTCTTCGATTTCACCATTTAGACATTAATTCCAGTTTAGATGATAGAAAACAAATGAATGGTTTAGATGTCTAAGACTGATTTCAAAGCGGTGAACAGAATTGGATCTTAAAACTAGCAATTGAAATTTTACATACTTGGATTGCTTACATTATATAGTTTCTTCATCCTTATATTTTTCATACTTGGATTTCTGGGTCGACTTTAGATTGAGGAACGTTTTATGGACTGTGCGGTGTATTCTCTAGATTTTTCATAGATGAGATTTTAACATCTTTTACTCTCTTATTGCTGTCACGCATTGTTGAATCACTTGAAAAAACTTAACATTGACGGTATGTAGCTGTCCTTCATCAGGTTATGTTTGTAAGTGATCAGTATTTCATTTGTTTGCCTCTAGATACTGCAGCTTAAATGTTCTATCTTTTAAATCTGGATTCTTTACTCATATAAAGAAATTCCTTGGTTCAGGATTTGTCTGGTGTTTGGTTTAAGGTTTATCTGCCAAAAGAGATTTGGTGTGTGGTGAGGAACTTTTATGATGAGGTCTTTATTATGATGAGATTTGGTGTTTGGTTTAAGGTTTTCCTGCCAAAACAGATTTAGTATATTCAGAACTGCTACAGGTTTTTGGACTTGCCAATGCCATTACTTGTCTTGGTTTTGATAAATTTCTTTCACTAATCAGCTGATAGAAATCCAGTTCAAATTTGTTACAAGATCAAGGGACCCTGCCATCTGACTTTTTCATTTTTCTTAATGGATTATGGTTTTACATGGTGGCTGAATCAGCCTTTTTCTGATCATAGCTGTATCTTAGACTCTCAGCCAATCAGAATCAAGAGTTGAAAAACAAATTTACAGAATCAAGAGTTGAAAACAATATTTGTATGTATTTGTGGAGTGTAAAAAACGAATTTACAGTTTACTTCTGTTGAAAACACCTAGGTTTAAATTATCTGAATCAATTCTTGGGATAGTGCTGTCAATGGCTAGTTACTGAAATCTTCAGAATCTGGTAGGAATATATAGGTGCTGGTGCCTTCTTGCCATGAACTTGAATTCTCTTCATCTTTTAGCTGAAATTGAAACATTGATCCGAATTTCAGAACTGGTATCCCACAAACATGTTTCGGGATTTGTCATCATATTGTTGGCCTGAATCTCAGTATGGCTGTTCACATATGAACTATGACTTGAACTCAGATATGAACATACTCTTGGAGCTGAACTATCAGAAAGATCTGTGTGACATGAAATTCCCGGCATTGAAATTTGCTAAATCTGGCATTGAGGTGAGCCCATGTAGCAAATTCGAATTAGGATTTCCCACAATCTGATTAATCTGATGATCATGATCAGTTACAAAATTTGAATGGTATCCGATAGGATCAGAACTTTCTTGAAACTCAGAGAAGAACAGAGGATCATATTCTTTTTGTCCGCTGTTATAGCAAATTATGTTGTTTGGCCAAAATTCTTGTCCTATTTCATCTGAATTTGCCAAATTTGGAAGCCCTTTTGGCTGTAGAATCAGATCTCGGGATTCAGGTACTGGTTTATGAGTATTAGGATCAATGCCTTGCTTTATCAGCTTCTGCTTCAGAGATGAATTCCAAAAGTTCTTTATCTCATTGTTTGTTCTTCCTGGTAAGTGTGCTGAAATTTGAGCCCACCTGCAACTCTTCCCACACCTCTGTAAACCTGAAAATATCAAAAACCCACAAAATCTTATTCATTCCCGGTTCTTAAATTTCTTTTAAACAAAAAACAGGGAAAAAAAAAATGGAATGTGGGGTTTCTTACACCAGAACAGCCAAAATTAGAACAGAACTCC